GGGAGGTCAGTGGATGGCCTTGTTCCTCTCACCTCTAATTGCTTGCACACTTTGGGGGCTTTTTCAGGCTGGGATGGAAAAAATGAGCCTCAAGGCTGCATGTGCCCCACCCCCTTCTCATTCTGAGGCATGAAGACGCAGGAAGCAGAGCGGGTCTGAGGGCAGCTTCCTGGACTGTCCAGGTGGAAAATGGCTCTGGTAAGCCTTCTTCCTGAGTTCATGACCCTTGACGTGAAATAACGCAACAGCAACAAGAATGATGGTAACGGCTGGGGACTTAACGACCCCACGGAGTCCTCACAGCTGTACGAGGTGGGAGCTGTTAGCCCCACTTCACAGGTGAAGCAAGTGAGGGGTGGGAGGTTAAAGGTCACACCCAGGTCACATAGCTAATGGGGAGTCAAGTCTGGTAACAGACGCAGTCTGTCTGATGCTCAGGTGCACGCTCTCTGCCCCCGTTGGCTGCAGCTTTCTCATACTCTCCGCTGGGGGGTTGCTTTCTGGAACCTGAGCCCATCCAGGAGACCGGACAGTGACCAGCTGCCTGTCCCTCACTCAGATGGATGAGCAGTGTGCAAGTTCCCAGCCTGGGCCCCTCTGTGGGCCCAGAACCTAATGGTTCCGTCCAAGGGTCTCAGCCCAAGCCAGACCCCATGAACTGTGGGCTGGAGCTTGGCCCCCTTGGGTCCACACCCTGCCTGGACTCTGGGTTCCCTCCTCGGTCCACCAGGAGCGAAAGATCCCAGAGGCAGACGTGAAAGACAGGGCCCTCGCTGTCCAAGCTTCCACGGCCTGTCCCCACCTTCTGGGGCGGCACACACAAGTCATCGTCACGAGAACAAGTTCACTAATGTACCGACCCCTTGTCAAATTAGGCTCCGCTCGACCATCCTGTTATGCTTTTTGTTAGCATTGAGGTGAAAGTCACATAATACGAAGTTGACCATGTTAAGTGAACAATTCGGCAGCGTGTAGCACAGTCACAATGGCGTGCAACCACCACTTCCATCTAGTTCCAGAACATTCTCAGTACCCCAAAAGGAGATCCCAAGCCCATTAGCAGTCACTCCCCCTCTTCCCCTCCCTAGCAATCACTAGTAAAGTTTCTGCTTCTGGATTTGTATTCTGGACATTTAATATAGATGGAGTCATGTACTATGTGGCCTTTTGCGACTGGCTTCTCTCGGCATCGCGTCTTCCAAGTTCATCCTTGTTGGAGCAAGTGTCAGCGCTGGTTCCTTTTCATGGCCGAGTGATGCTCCGCTGTGTGGACGGACCCTCTTCTGTTTCTCCTTCATCCATGGATGGACGTGTGGGTGGTTCCCACCCTCTGGCCACTGTGACACGCTTGTCCATGTGCCTGTTTGAGTATCTGTTTCCAGTTCTGTGGGGCATATATTTATAGGGGAGATCCTCGGTGATGGGGTCATTCCAGGCCATCCTGTTATTCCTTGTCCACGTTCCTTGTGGTC